TTTTTTCAATCACACTGCATTTTTTCAATCAAATTTCAACCCCTAGAAATTTTTTATTTTTGACCTTATTTTCATGTAACCAAACTGTAAAGCACATCTTGAATTCCCCTTGACTTAAATTTCAGCAGCAGGTCAATTTAGGCGATAAAAAAGAAATGCTAGCATTTTAGTTAAAATATGTAAAAAAGGTGTTTTCCACTAATCCTTATTTACACATTACAAATCGCAATAATTTTTCTAAAAATAATTGATATACAGACTCAGTTTTTGTCAGTCTGCAGAAATGGATATTAAGTTGGACAACTGTTTAATTCATGAAGTCATAATGTATATATGTGCACTTCAAAAGCGTAATTTTAATATGTACATTTTTTACCATTTACCGTTTCTTAATTGGGAAGGTAATACATCAGTAAAGTAACAGTCACTTAACCAAGGAAAAACATTCTCTGTGATAACTGTTCAGTAAGCAGTCACTAGAATGGGGGTCATATAGACCCTAAGATCCTAAAAATTTCACAAGAACATGCTTTTTCTGTTATGCAAAATTGAAATGTACATCCATACCCCCAATTACGACAGCTTTACCACTGCAAATAGATATCAAGATTGAAAATGGCATTATAATTAGGTTAAAATTGTTTATTACCATTTATCTGAAGTTGAGTATGTCAAAATTTCTCATAATACATAACTGGATCATATTTTAACATTGTATGACAATTTTTATGTGGTACAGTTTATATTTTGTTAACTGATTGAAAAGTGGTTGTGAAATTTTGAAGACAGGAAAATGGGTCAGTAATGATTTGTCTCGATTCATAATAATAATTCAGGTATAATTTTAAAAAGTTGGTGCATTTATTAGCTAAAATGATCATAATATTCGCAGATTGAAAGAGATTTTTTATTAAATATATTTCACTGTCAGTTATTTGTTTGAAAAATCTGTTAGCTGATTGGAAGAGCCAGTACGGGGATACCATTAAGTCCCAAAATATTAAAGATTGCAGACTTCAAAATGTAAAAATAAAAAAAGGTATTAATTGTTAAAAAACAAACTTAACTTTGATCACAATTCTTAAGTTGTTGGTGTTTTGTCTACATACCGGCCACAACAACCCATTGGAAAAGACATCTAAAGTAGACCAGACTACAACTTTACTTCATTCGTAAATGACTTTTGACCTTCAATGTCAAATTTTTAATTTTGCAAAAATTTTTGCTATTATATTAGTGGCCATTAATAGGTTAGTTTTGTATGGTTGTTTTCAAACTTGCAATGAACATTTTTAGGATAGGACCTTCGAAGTTTACTATCCTAAAAGCCTGACCTTTCCTCATAAATGAATTGACCTTTGAAGGTCAATAATAATATTGAAAAATCCTTCTTTTTTTAGCACTGCACCTGGCTATACATGTAACTTTGTTATTAATGAATGAACTGACTTTATATTAAGACACAAATTTCTTTAGGATAAGACCTTCATGTATATGAAACACATATTGACCGGATGGTGTAGCATGACAGAGCTCCAGATAGCGTGCGTATAAGCGTAAAATACGCATAGAAAATCTAAAATACGCATCACTTTCAAAATTCGTGCGTCACAGTTACGCACAACAAAATGAAAATACGCTCGTATGTCAAAATTTATGCGTAAAAGAATAGAAGTGTAAACATTTGATCTGTAGAAAGAAAATGTTTTGAGCAATAAAATACAATATATTTCCATTTAATTGCATTGACTAAAAATTCTGTTGTCAAAACGCATGTTAAAACGAAAGTAGCAGGAAATACAGAAGGGAGGTAACTCCGTAGATCTATCAACCTGTGAAATTATTGATGAAATTTGTGCAGATAATATCGTAGGAGTTAACACAGTATTAAGTTAGTTTAGGCATTATTGACATACTCAATATAACCAAAAATATATTTTAATTTCTTTAACTTAAGTTGTTGGAACAAATAACATGTTATTCACCTGCAGTTTTGTACTCAATATTTTCGTAACCCAGTCTACAGTTACGGACAACTTTCTCTCAGACAAATAATTTTTTTTTAAGGAAAGATAAAAAAAAATCTTGTTTATGTTTGTAATTGTAAAGGTTTTTCTAAAAAAAGAAAATAAACAAACAAACAAACACAACAATAAGTTTAATTTGTTTATAAAAAAATGCAAAATGTTTTTTTTGACAGATTTTTACCCCTTAAGTTTTTTCAGAATTTTGCATTTTACCCCTCACTCTAAATTTTGAGGGGTAAAAACCCCTTGGCCAAAAAAATTATCTGGAGCTCTGCATGAAATACCCAAATGTAACACCCAAATATTCCCAAATATTGCCCAAATATACAAAAAATGAATGTTTTATACTAAAAAAAGTGCTGTTTTAATTATAAATACAATATAAACTAAGATTTAATCAAACATACCCAAATTTACATTTGAACCAGAATATATCCAAATACAGTATACTCCATTAAAGCTATTATATTAAAATAAAAAAAAATGATACTAATGAACTTGTATGAAATTTCAACAAAATAATACCCTATCTATTTTGACCGGGATTTACTAGAGACCAGCTATTAGTATCACACATTTATTGTCCGGTCTCTTTCGGTTTTGGAGTAGATATTTTATTTGAAATTGCAGCATATAAGAAAGATTTTCCCCCAAATTGAATGTTTGTCACTTAGATTGGTTACAATATTTACTTGTATCATAGTTTGGGGGACCTTTCTGTTGAAAAAAATTTCCAGAGTTAAATCGTCTACATATACATGTACAGTGCATTAACTGGAGTGCAGGTAAAGGTTTACCCGCACTCCAGAGCATGCCATTGATTGGTTCATTTTTGATGGGGTTGACTTATTGTGACGACAGAGAAAAGGAAAACGATGGAAATATCTCATTCAGATGCTTGTTCATTTGGTTACTTTTTTCTGGGGAAATCTTTTAAATCCTGGTCAAAATAGACCGGGAGAGACCGGAAGCGACCCGACTGGAGAATAGTATATCCCGTATTTTTGTGTATATTTGAGTATATTTGGGTATTTCGTGCTGCCGAATTGATAGCTCATTTATGACCATGAACTTGAAGGTTGAATTATTGAATTTTCACTGATTTTTGCTGTAATTGACTCTGACTTGGTAATTAATCAATGGATTATCTTCATACCTGGACAAATCAAATTTTGGACAAGACCTTCTAAAAGTTTGAACTGAACTTTGATCTTTAAATGAACTTGAGTGTCAAAGTCAAATGATTGAATATAAGTTAAGTTGTTATAATTTTGTTGTTTATGTACAAGGATTTAATTTATAGGTGATATAAAATATAACCAAAAATCCTCGGAATTTCAGGGCTGTTGATTTGTCTTTTATCTCTTGATATTATATCTTATAATAGAATAGGAATAAACAAGGAAACATTTTAAAAGCCCTTATAACTCCAGTTGATGATTCCCCTTACATTTTTTTTGAAAATTGGTTATTTAAATCAATTTCATATGGCAAGTGAAATCAACTTTTAGCTTGCTCAGGGTGAGCTTTTAGGATCGTTGAATGTCCGTCATATGTCGTCCGTCGTCTGTCGTCCGTCACACTTGTTCGTTAACATTCTAGTGATCGCATTTTTGCCTCAATCAACATCAAACTTTGTCAGGATGCTTGTGTAGGTCATTACTCAGATGAATTCGAACTTGGGTCATTTCCGATAAAAACTAGGTCACCGGAGCTAAAAATAGAAAAAATCTTATTAACACTCTAGTGGCTACTGTTTTGATCCAAATATCCTGTAAATTGGTCTTAAAGTTTGTTTTGATGAATTTAAGGTCAAGATCGAACATGGGTAATCTCGAATGAAAAACTAGGTCACACCGCCCAAATATTGAAAAACCTTGTTAACATTCTAGTGGTCACATTTTTGGCTCAATTATTATCAAACTTGGTCAGGATGCTTGTCTAGCTAATTGCTCGCTTGAGTTTAAACATGGGTTATCTCGCGTGAAAAACTAGTTCACCGCAGCTAAAAATAGAAAAATCTTGTTAACACTCTAGTGACTACTGTTTTGATCCAAGTATCCTGGAAATTGGTCTGAAAGTTTGTTTTGATGATTTCTAGGTCAAGTTCGAATATGGGTCACCTGGGTTAAAAACTAGGTCACACTGCTTAAATATGGATAATCCTTGTTAACACTCTAGTGGTCACATGTTTGACTCACCTGTCATGAAACTTGGTCAGAATGCTTGTCTAGGTAATTGTTCGGATGAGTTTGATGGGTCAGGTGAGCGATCTAGACCCATCATGGCCATCTTGTTTGTAGTACTTGTGTAACATAAGTCATACAAATTATTTGTAATTTAAATTTCAGAACAGCATGAGGAGTGTCTTCTTTCATTGGTTAAAAACAAGGAATATAATGACTATAATGTTCAAGTAATTCTTGCTGCTCATTTGTTTGGACCATTGGCTGGTGGTTATGAGATAGGAAACAAAGGTTTCCCTAAGGATGCAAGAAGATGTCCTAGATGTAACAAAGATATAAGTGATGCACTCAAGAATACATCACTTGGTAACTATTCTTTTATGTTATTATTCTGATGTCTTATCCTTTAAGTGTATCCTCAACTCTTTAGCAGTTGTTAAACAAATTGTATCATTTAAATGGACTTAAAGGGACTCCACTGAGGTTTAAAAGCCGAGAAACATAACATTTGAATTTTTTACATAAATGAGCTGGGGCACTTTAGACAGAAATATGCAAAGATAATTAAGAAATATACTTTAAAATAAATTGAAAATCTTTTCTTAGCCTGATTGGAGTGAAAAGCGTTTAAACGCTTTTCATTTTGGGTCATTTTTACAATTTTAATAATTATTTTAGAAAAACTAAGTGCACAAATGATCTGAATTTTTGCACCAAGATTAGTGGTCTAACCCTACATCAAATGGTTCATTTTTCTGGAAAACATATTTTCAGTACCATCATGTCAAAAAACCTCTGTGGAGTCCCTTTAATATTTGAATGTATCTAGTCTTTTTGTTTGGTAAACTGAAGTTGTTGGCATGTAGCATTTCCTATGGACATCAACAAATAATGTACTTTAATGGACTTGTGTAAACAGTTTGAGCCAATTTGGGACTTAGAATCATATATTGGACTGAATATGCTGACAAAGTTTCAAGAGTTTACATTGTTAACAAATGGCATCACAGTAGGAAAGGGAGATAACTGAACCAGATTAATGTTCCACACATGGAAGTTCTACTGTATGTTAGCTTTGGATAAAAAATACACCTAAAGGCAACAATTTACTTCTGCATTTAAAAATTCTAGCAATGTATGTTTATCTCAGAAGAGTGATCTATGGCCTTATGCCCCTCTTGGCACTTAAGCCTGGTTCAAACTCACAGTGGTGTCCCCGTGAGGGACAAGTGGTTTGAAGTCAATGACTTAAACAACTCTGTCATTGATCCTCTTGGATTTATAATGGTTTGCAGACAAAAGCTAGAGTTAACAATTAGTTCATATTGTAATCAAATTTGGTATATAGCAAGCTTTTATGAAGAACCTGGATGGGATTGCTTTAGGATACTATGGGGTCTAGGTAAAGGTCTCTGTAACTAAAAATAGAATTAATTTTTCTGGGTAATAACTAGAGTAAGCAATGAGATATTGTAATTTAACTCAGTAGATATCAAGTTTTTATGGAGATTCCAGTTGGGATTGCTTTTGGAACCCTAAGGTCAAGGTCAATGTCACTAAAAAATAGAAAAATGGTTTCCAGACAATAACTAGAGCAAGCAATCATGATTGATTGTTCAAGACCATTAGATGAGCTTTATTGATTTTGGGGTCAAGGGGTCAAAGGTCAAGGTCACATTGACCTTGAAAGCAAAAACGGTTTCCGATCAATAACTTAAGAACGCTTAGGCTTAGGAATTTTAAACTTGGTATGATGATTTTTCATGACAGGTAGATGACCCCTATTGTTTTTGGGGTCAAGAGGTCAATGGTCATGGTCACATTGACCCTGAAGGCAAAAACGGTTTCAGATGAATAACTAAAGAACACTTTGGTCCAAGAACTTCAAACTTGTTATGATAATTGTTCATAACCACTAGAAGACCCATAATGATTGTAGGGTCAAGGGGTCAAAGATCAAGATCACATTAACCTTGTAGGTAAAAGCAAATTTCCGATCAAATAACTGACAACCCACAGGCTGTTGGCCCTCAAAATTCACAGTTGCATTGGACTTGGCCAGTTGATGACTTTAATTGATTTTTCGGGTCAAGGGGTCAAATGTCAAGTTCATATTGACCTTGTAGGTAAAAAAGGTTTCCGATCAATAACCTGACAAGCCATCGGCCCTCAAACTTCATAGGTGCATTGATCTTGCCAAGTAGATGACCCCTTATGATTTTGGGGTCAAGGGGTCAAAGTTATAAGGTCATAATAATCTTGTATGTCAAAAAGGTTTCCTATCAATAACTTGACAACCCATTGACTCTTGACCTTAAACTTCACAGAGGCATTTCTTTTGGTCAGAAGATGACCTGCATGATTTTAGGGTCAAGAGGTTAGAGGTCAAAATCACATTGGCCTTGTAGGTATAAACGCTTTCTGATTAATATCTCAACCACTCATGGGCCCTTAACCTTCAAACTTCACAGCTGCTTTGATCTAGGCCAGTAGATAACCCCTTTTGATTTAAGGGTCAGAGGTCTAAATCACATTGACCTTGTCGTAAAGACAGTTCCTGGCCAATAACTCAACAACTCAAGTTGACTTGGTTGATATTTTTTATTAAACTTAAAATGCTTTTGGTATCCACATTTTAAGGTCTTATATAATATAATAAATTGGCTGTCATTAAGGCTGTTATTTGGGAGGCCTAAAATATGCATATATTATTTGGTATGGTCTGTGATAACTTTGTCATAAAATTACTGCTCACAACCTTTACGGTTTCAGCAAGGGTTGTCTTTTAAGAGTCTGCAGGGTTTTGAGCGAAGTTTTCTTTTATGAGTGAGAGGTTTTCGGCAAGTTACTATGGGGAATTATTCACCAACTGTGTAGATTTTTAGCTTGAAAAAGAAGAAAAGTAATATGATTTCCAGTATTTAATGTTGTCAACAGAATGGTCTAATGAAAAGATGAATACAAACATGAGAAAAATAATGAATAGTTATAAGAACAAAATGAATGTGAATAAAAGAATGAAAAGAACTAAAAGAGCATTACACTTTATGAACTTAAACATAATAATGCAAGTGACAAAAACTAGAAAGAAGTGATAATTTACAAAATATAAAATAAACATTTAAATTAAACATAAGAATATAATGAAAATACATGAAAATCGCTCAGTGAGAAGTTGTCAACAAATTATTGATAAAAATAACTTTTTAAAGAATTGTTTAAGAATTATTAAAAATCATTGTACAAAGTTACAGAAAGAATTGACAATAATAAATATATGAAATGCTTACCTTGAAAAATGAAGAAGAAAAGTAATATAAATTTCCAGTATTTAATGTTGTCAACAGAATGGTACTGTGTAACAACACACTGGCCTTTTATATGAATTTGTAGTCAAGCATTTCACCTTAACAACAAACAGAAATTAAGACATGGTGATAAATAGAATTATAAATGTAATATTACTATCTTATAGAGAATTAAGATTTATTTGTCAAATACAAAGTAATATGTTGAAAACTATTGATATTGATATTTTCCTGTAACAACAGGTACCCTAACATGATTACTGGACAGATTAGTAAAATATATAATCTCTTTGTTTGGTAAAATATCTTTGTGATAACTTCCCCTGGCTCCGGAAAAGCCATGCTCCGTCATGGAACTTGATAAAAAGATACATTGAAAAACATAATGATAAAAGTTCTTTCTATAATACAAATTGTATGTACAATTGGCATAAAAACAATATATGTGTTCAAATTTAAATTGTATTACATGTACACATAGTAAATGACATGTTTTAATGATATTCTTACAAATTGGTACTTAGAAGTACGTAAGAAATAAACATGAAATAAACTAAAATAAGTGCACTGAAAAGTACTTGAAAATATAACTTAACATATGTACTGAGTAGTACCATAATGTTCAGAAATGTACTTTTAATAAAAACCCAAGTACTAAGTAGTACAGGCAAAGAATAATGAAAACATTCACAAGTACTGAGTAGTACTGAAAAAATATGATGAATATCACAAGTACTGAGTAGTACTGGAAAAAAGAATAATGATAAATATTCAAGTACTGAGTAGTACTGAAAAATTATGATGAATATTCAAGTACTGAGTAGTACTGAAAAAGATTAATGATAAATATTCAAGTACTGTGTAGTACTGAAAAAATATGATGAATATTCAAGTACTGAGTAGTACTGAAAAAATATGAATATCAGAAGTACTTAAAAATATCACAAGTACTGTATAGTACTGGAAAATGCCGCAAGTACATTGTAGTACTGAAAAATGTCACAAGTACTGTAAATATAAGTACTGATTAGTACTTTAAAATGCAGAAATGTCAGCGTTGTCTTCGGTACACAATTTTGAATCACAATGATGATGGTAGTGGTATAGGCACTTTGTTGAAAAGTGGGATTGACCTTTGAACCTCTTACAATAGACAATACTAGTCATTAAATAATACTGCAAAAATATTTATATAAAATAAATGACTATTATTTCTTATATAGCAAAAAATATCAAACACTTAAAGGAGAAACAAAATATTGATCTATTTAATCATTTGATAGGCTTAAAGATTGTAAGAAGTAAATTGCTTTATTGATGTCTTGTTTTATAGGGTCTAAACAGGGATAAATGTTCGAAGATGGTGTTGTTTGTAATGTTGTGCATGTAGGATGTATTGGCATACATGTATGATTATGTTTTGTAATTAAGTCTTCGTTCCAATCATTCCCCAGACAAAGTAGGTAGGTATATGTACTGCCATGAGTAGAAACTCATGGACGTAGAAAAGGAAGAGTTCTGTGAATAAGAAGGGTAGAGTTATAGGAATTGTAAAGTTGGATCCAGTTAGCACTTATTTCATGAGACCTGCCCATTACTTATAATATTTTACAATTCTAAACGTAACCTGCTTATTCAAGAAAAGCTACATTTCTACAGTAGTTTAACCATTTTATGTCAAAAATTTTGGAATGGAACCAGAAGGACCAGAATTTTGTTGAAAGTAACAGTGTTTAAGATTGAGAAAAGTTGGTTATATAGAATAAAGTGTTAAATACTAAATAAACAAAATATGTAATTGAAAAATACATGAATGACATTGATACTGAAAAATTTAGAACCTGTATGGCAGGGAATTATAGTTCAGCACATAGCCTAATGTTGGAAAAATGTAAATATTATGATATCACTGTTGAATATAGGAAAAGTCCTTTTTGTGAGTGTTTTGTTTGAAAATTTGTACCATTTTGTATTGAGTGTGTCCTTGTCACTGTGTCTTAAGGATTAAGTACATATATTGTACATATTGTAAATTATCAAACTACAAACTTAATGTACTAATGTTTTATAATTAAATGTCTTGTGAAAATGTAAAAGTCTTCAGAGAACTTGCTAATGTTATGTATTTGTATTTTGCCACAAAAGAAAGACTACATTTTCTCACTTAAGATTGCTTTTAATAAATTGAAGAAAAAATGTTCTTATTAATGTTTTAATATCATTTTTGACCTCATCTTAAAAAAATTAATGAAAAAAGCAACAAAAATTAAATGCTGAACTTATAATCTAATCATGTTACCTAAATCAGATCCTTTAAATTTCACTACATGACCATAAACGATATATCTACTTAACCATAAATAAGGTTCATGTTTAAACTGGTCAAATTTTCCCACTACATCAACATTTGGCCTACCTTTAATCTGCGCTCTCGAGGTTTCGGATTCCATGCTAGTTGGTTCTGCTTCTTTTCTCAAAACTGTACCGCCTTGAACGTAGATTAAAGTCTTCAAGTTATCACAGGAGTTTGTACCTGTGTTGTTGTTTACTTCGGGTTCTCCACCAGTTTTCAGCAAGGGTTGTCTTTTAAGAGTCTGCGGGGTTTTGAGCGAAGTTTTCTTTTATGAGTGAGAGGTTTTCGGCAAGTTACTATGGGGAATTATTCACCAACTGTGTAGATTTTTAGCTTGAAAAATGAAGAAGAAAAGTAATATAAATTTCCAGTATTTAATGTTGTCAACAGAATGGTTTAATGAAAAGATGAATACAAACATGAGAAAAATAATGAATAGTTATAAGAACAAAATGAATGTGAAAAGAACTTAAAAAAACATTACACTTTATGAACTTAAACATAATAATGCAAGTGACAAAAACTAGAAAGGAGTGATAATTTAAAAAATATAAAATAAACATTTAAATTAAACATAAGAATATAATGAAAATACATGAAAATCGCTCAGTGAGAAGTTGTCAACAAATAATTGATAAAAATAACTTTTTAAAGAATTGTTTAAGAATTATTAAATATCATTGTACAAAGTTACAGAAAGAATTGACAATAAGAATTTGTAGTCAAGCATTTCACCTTAACAACAAACAGAAATGAAGACATGGTGATAAATAAAATTATAAATGTAATATTACTATCTTATAGAGAATTAAGATTTATTTGTCAAATACAAAGTAATATGTTGAAAACTATTGATAAAAGTTTTCCTGTAACAACAGGTACCCTAACATGATTACTGGACAGATTAGTAAAATATATAATCTCTTTGTTTGGTAAAATATCTTTGTGACAACGGTCACAATTACCTAGTGACTAGTCATGACCAGTAGATAAGCCCTGTTGATTATTTGGTCACTAGGTGAAAAGTCAGTCATAATAACCTGACCACATGACTAATTGGTTGCCAATAGGGGACATACATGTTTTACAAACATATTGTGTTAAAATTAGAATCATTGGTTCCATATGATAACTAGACATTTGAAGTTTTCTTCAGACCACTAATTTTTATGAGGTTTTTAGCTCGACTTTTCTATGAAAAGGGGAGCTATCCTACTCGCCCCGGCGTCGGCGTCGGCGTTGGCGTCACACCTTGGTTAAGTTTTTCGTACCACCCCACTTTATTTCAGAAGTATTACAAGTATGGCTTTGAAACTTACCATACTTGTTCACCATCATAACCTCCATCTACAGACAAGAGTACATAACTCTGTCAAGGTTTTTGACAGAATTATGGCCCTTTTTTGACTTAGAAAGTGTATTGAGCTTGGTTAAGTTTTTTGTACCACCTCACTTTATTTCAAAACCATTGGAGGTATTGCTTTGAAACTGACCATACTTGTTTACCATCACGACCTTCATCAACAGACAAGAGGACATAACTCTGTCAAGGTTTTTGACAGAATTATGCCCCTTTTTGACTTAGAAAATACATTGAATATGGGTAAAATCCACTTATTGCCTTAACCCTTTGAGATATTGCTTTGAAACTTTTAATGCTATTTCACATCATTACCCCCATCTGTACGCAAGAGAAGGTAACTCTGTCAAGGATTTGTTTTAAAAATTAAGGCCTTTTATCGACTTAGAATCTTGGTTAAGTTTTTAGTACCAGTCCACTTTTTGACTGAACTGTTTGAGATATTAATTTGAAAGTTGGAATACTTGTTTACAATCATGATTCCCAAACATGTCCAGGAGAAGGTAATTCTGTCAAAGATTTTATTTGAATTATGGCCCTTAACTGTCAATGTTTTGTATTATAGGCAAGCACTAAAAAACTTAAAAAATCTAAAAAAATTCATTCCTATCCACTTGTTCACTTTACCATAAATTATGTCATATAAACATTGCTGTAATATTCAAGGGTATCAAACAACTAGTTCACTTTAAAAATACAGAGATTCTTGTATTGCCTTTTACTGCAAAAACTTTTTTTATTGGCAAGCAATAAAAAAGTCGAGCGCGCTGTCTTACGGACAGCTCTTGTTTATTTGCCCTTATGGGCCCTTCTATCAGTGCATGCATGAAGTGTCACATGTAGCACTCTAAGTGCTTGGGAAGTGCTTGAGCTAGTGAATTTTCAATTTTCAACTTTTGTCGCTTGTAGCCCAAAAAGTATTTGACCTGGAGACATGAAACTTCACAGAAATGTTGATCAGCATGTGAAGTTGTTCACCTAGGGGTATGCTTGTTTTTTTTCAGTACTTCAAGAGTTATTGCCCTTGACTTACTTTCAGGTCATGGAGATGTGTGGCATGGGCATGCAGATATAATTGTGAAAAGAAGTGTAGTCAAGGTAGAAAGTAGAGCTTATAAAGAGGACGGTAGTGGTGAACCACAGCATAAGAAAATGAGAACTGAAAGTATCGGAGATGTAAGTTCATCTTCAGACGAATTTTACGACAGTGGTATTGTAGCTGAAGTACAAAAATATGCAATTAATGATCAGGCAGTGTCACAGGTATTGGCTGAAACAATCGTCAATGCGTTTTCAGAAGTGAACAAGAATCGGATGCTGTCAAGTTCCTTTATACCATCATTTATAGCCACATCTAAAGATATTAGAATAATTATGTACAACTGTGAGCTAGATAGTTTGATAATGTTAGATGATTTGAAGATCTTCATATATGATGAAGTTAAAGGGAAAAATACATTAAATGTTTCAACGATTTTGAGTATATGGTATGCCTTGAATTTTGAAAATTATTTTAATAGAAGCACTAGTCTTTTTCCAGAATTTGAGTACATGTTAAGTCAAATTTCAAAGAACAAGCTGGTAAAAAGTTTAAGATATATAATGAAAAGTGTACTAAACCTATGACAGAAACAGAAGGATATGTAGATGTTGACTTTACAATATCCGGTGAACATCTTACAGGGAAGATAGGGCGTGAAATTGAAACAACACTTGCATCACTTAGACAGTCAGTACATAAAAAATAGTAAAAAAAAGTAAACAAGAATTTGTAAGGTGTTCTTAATGCATTTGATCAAAGAGCTTGTTGAACAAGTTTATAGAAAAAAATGTTTGGATACTGTAAATCACTTGAAATTTGCGTGATTTTTATCTTGTTTATGTAATTGTTGATGTAGTCCCATTAAGTGACAGCTTTTGATTTCGTATACCAACATAGTTATTTTTCGTTTGACTGCACAATGTAAATTGAGGGCTGCAGATTTCAGGTTAAAGGTTTTGTGCAGTAATTTTTTTTGTTAATATAACTTCATTGTTTCTGGAGTAATAAAATTCAACTTCAAATATACGTTCTTTACCATCAACCACATTCTATTTGACAAGGTTCATAATTCTAGAAGTAATATTTTCAGAATTATCCCCCTTTGAACTTAGAATTTTCCTTTAAAAATGTTATGTTTTTCTCTACCTGCTTTATTTCATAAGAGGTCTACATTAAACTTCATATATATAGACATTGGCATCAATCATATCATAAGTGACCAGAAGGGATTGGATTAAAATTTCAAATTGTTATTTTTTCCATTAGATCATAGAAATGTCTGTTTAACATATTAGTTATATTGACATGGTCACATGCATATAATTTGGAGCAAAATATTGAACATTAAAGTGTATTTTAGCTCACCTGTCACAAAGTGACAGGGTGAGCTTTTGTGATCCCTTTTGGTCCGGCGTTCATCCGTCCGTAAACTTTTACTTTATTTGACATCTCCTAATAAGCCACTAAGTCGATTTCATCCAAACTTCACAGGAATGTTCCTTTTGTGGTCACCTTTAAAAATTGTTCAAAGAATTTAATTCCATGCAGAACACTGGTTGCCATGATGGCAACCGAAAGAAAACACTTTAAATATCTTCTCTTAAAAAACCCTAAGAGCTAGAGCTTAGATATTTGTCATGAAACATCTTCTAGTGAGTGTCTACCAAGTTTGTTCAAAGAAAAGCCCTGGGGTCAAAATTGGCCCCACCCCAGAGGGTCATTTATTTTCCCTATATGAATATATTAAAAACTTAAAAATCTTCTCTTAAAGAACCCAAAGAGCTAGAGCTAAGATATTTAGCATGAAACATCTTCTAATGGGTGTTTACGAAATTTGTTCAAATAAAAGCCCTGGAGTCAAACTTGGCCCGCCCCAGGGTGTCATTGATTTTCCCTATATGCATATAGTAAAAACTTAAAAAAAAACTTCTTTTAAAGAACTCAAAGGGCTAGAGCTAAGATATTTAGCATAAAACATGTTCTAATAGGTGTCTACCAAGTGTGTTCAAATAAAAGCCCTGGGGTCAAAATTGGCCCCGCCCCAGGGGGTCATTGATTTTCCCTATATGTGTATAGCAAAAACTTAAAAAAATATTCTTTAAAAAAAAACCCAAATAGCTAGAGTTTTGATACTAAGCATTAAACATCTTCCAGTGAGTGTCTACAAAGTTTGTTCAAATAAAAGCCCTGGGGTCAGAATTGGCCCGCCCCGGGGTCATTGATTTTCCTTATATGTGTAAAGCAAAAACTAAAAAATCTTCTTTAAAAACTCAAATAGCTAGAGTTTAGATACTTAGCATGAAACATCTTCTAGTGAGTGTTTACAAAGTGTGTTCAAATAAAAGCCCTGGGGTCAAAATTGGCCCGCCCCCGGGGTCATTGATATTCCTTATATGTGTATAGCAAAAACTTAAAATTTTCTTTTAAAAAACCCAAATAGCTAGAGTTTAGATATTAAGGATGAAATATTGTCTAGTAGGTGTCTACAAAGTTTGTTAAAATAAAAGCCCTGGGGTCAAAACTGGCCCCGCCCCAGGGGTGTCATTGTTTTTAACTACATGTGTATAGCAAAAACTTAAAAATCTTCTTTGAAAAACCGAAATAGCTAGAGTTTAGATATAAAGGATGAAACATCTTCTATTTAGTGTCTACAAAGTTTGTTCAAATATAAGCCCTTGGGTCAAAATTGGGCCCCGCCCCAGGGGTGTCATTGTTTTTTACTATATGTGTATGTGTAAAAATGTTCTTTTAAAAAATCCAATCAGCTAGAGCTTAGATGTTTAGCATGAAACATCTTCCTATAGGTGTCTACCAAGTTTGTTCAAATAAAAGCCCTTGTGTTAAAATTGGCCCTGCCGGGGTGGGGGGGGGGGGTGGAAGATCATTTTTTTTCAATAAATGTGTGTAGTAAAAACTTTACATTGTGAAACATCTTCTAATGGGTGTCTTCCAAGTTTGTTCAAATAAAAACCCTGGGGTTTAAACTGGCCCTGCTCATGGTGCCTTTATACAGGTGAGCGACCTCAGGGCCATCATGGCCCTTTTGTTACATACTGATGCAGAAATATATAAATTAATTATTTATTTCATAATTTTTTCATAGTTTTGTCTTTCTTTACTGCATAGAGTATTAAATTAGTCGACCATGTTGCCTCCTCTGACAGCTTTTCCTTAGATGTGTTTATTATATTAGGAAAAAAGTCAAGCATGGTTCCAGATTGTCTGTGGCTTTGTTAATGGTAACTTAAGTCAATGTTTATTTGGACAATATACATGTTGTGTTATTTATCACTTTGGAAAATGTATCAAATGTTTAAATGTTGTTGTTTTTTTACTTGCAGTGAAAAGGTTGACTGTAAAATGGTGCATTTATTACAATAATACTTGCATAATATAAAATATATATGACGAGAGACATGAATCTATAAAATTACAATTGCGAATTGTATTTAAAAAGCGTTAAAAGCGTTTCTAAATCATAAACCTGAATAATTGTAAATTGTATTTTGAAAGAGCATAAAAAATATTTTTCAATCATAAAATCGATAGTTAATGTTAAGATAGTTGATAAAATAAAAGTTACAACTGTTACAAACTTTCTTTAGATATTGCGCCCCCACTTTCGTGACGGGCATTTAGATTTACCCTTGTCCGTCCGTCCTTCCGTCCGTTGCACCTAACTTAAAAAGAACTTGACCTAGAGTCATGAAACTTTACAGGAATGTTGATCAGCATGTGTAGTTGTGCGACTGGGTATTTTCGTCTGGATATTTTTAGTATTTTCACAGTTATTGCCCTTGACTTAGAAAATTTTTGCAATTTTCTATTTGTGTCGCATGTAACTCAAAAAGTATTTGACATAGAGTCATGAATCTTTACAGGAATGTTGATCAGCATGTGTAGTTGTACACCTGGGTATTTTCGTCTGGATATTTTTAGTATTTTTAGAGTTATTGCCCTTGACTTAGAATTTTTTTTGCAATTCTCAACTTGGGTCGCAAGTTACTCAAGAAGGATTTGACATAGAGTCATTAAACCTTATGGGCAGGTTGCACAGCATATTAAGATTTGCACCTGGGGTTTCGCTTCTGGATTTATCCAGTATTTGTAGAGCTATTTCCATTGACTTAGTAAAAAGATTGACAGAACAGTGGCGTGGTGGGGGGGGACCCGTGTCCTATGGACACATTTCTAGTTTTTATGCTGAAACTTAAACGTAAGGAGAGCATACAGTTGCAGCATTGTCTGTCATTCCATCCGCCTGACCCTTACACTCTTTTTCCATAGAAAAACTTGAAAAGTATAGCAGGAATTTTATTTAAACTTCACACAAAGATGGAGGCCATTAAGAGGAAGTGCAGTGTCAAAGAATTATAACTCTACCTTGCTAAATTGTTTATTTTTTCCTTTAAGATAAAAACGTTTGACCGAAATATAACTTCTTAACTATGAAACTGCGCATGTTTGTAGGAGAATAAAGAGAGGAAATGTAGAGTCAAAGAGCCATAATTCTACATTGGTTAAGTTTTAACTTATCACCCTTCATAGAACTTACTAAGACTTGACCGGAGAATAATTGTAAAATATTAAAAGAATTGGATTAAAATTTCACATATTGTTAGATACCAGTAAAAGAAAGTGCAGCATCAAAGAATAATAATTCTATCGTGTTTAATATTTCAATTATCTCCCTTTATAATACATTAAATGCTAGATAAAGCTTCTTTGGAGAATATTTTCTAAATTGTCTATTAAATTTGATTGAAACTTCACATAGTTGTAAAGATTATAGAGAGGAAGTGCAGTGTCAAAGAATTATAACCATGCATCACTTGGTTTTTGAATTATCTCCCTTTGTTATTTGATAATGCTTCTAGGCAAAATAACTTTAAATGTATTAAAGCAATTTTGTTAAAACTTCACACAGTGAAAGGTTATTCCGTTAAGCCGTAATTCTGCCTTGCTTAATCTTTTAATTATCTCCCTTTATGATACTTAAAAATGTAAAATGACGCTTGTTTGTAGTATAACATCTTAACTTTAAAAGATATCTCATTTAATTTTCACAAAACATTAAGTGTTGAGACATAATCAATCGCTATCAACAAAGCTTAACATTGAAGACCTGTAAACAAAAAAAATCCATTAACTGTGCCCAAGCCAAATTGTGACCCGTAAAAATTCCAAAGTGACTTCAGATTGACGGTAAATCTAATGTATAGACAAAATAATAGCAGAAAAAGCAATATTTAAACTAATCGTCATGTATGTCACAGGTTGAGAAAAATGTACAGCCTGACCGGGACTCGAACCCGGGACCCTCGGAACACCGTTCCGCGGCTATACCGACTGAGCTATCTGAGGGTCCCAGGTTCGAGTCCCGGTCATAAAATAAAGATTTGAATATGTTTTATTGTTGTTTATATTGATGATTGTTCTTCTAGTTGTTGTTTACGAAAGTGTGTGCTTTGAAGAACGGATCTGATGTTGTCAAGTCTAACTGGCCCCGAGCTTAGAACTTTCCATGTCTTGTTGATGATTCTAGTACTTCCTTTGTTGAAAATTGTTTGATCTATCTGGAGATGTAGCCCTTGATCTAGATTTATACATGTCACGGTTCAGAACTGTTCACTTTTTATGGGAGAAGATGTGTAAGTGTTATAGAGTTAAATTATTTAATAAACACATGTTCAAATCTTTATTTTGTATTATCATATTTTCTTGGTTAATTGGGGGATTTTCGCTAGTTTGTTAAACTGAATGACAGATATTTGTTTACATCACAGAGACATTAAATTCTATCGAGTAACCAATATTAAGGTAATCCAAAAATACCCCCTATATAGTATATATAGAGTTTATTGATATCATATAGGGGTATTTTTTTTATTATCGTTAAAATTGGTTATTTGAGAGAATTTCACGTTCTTGTTTTTAAGTTGACAACTGTCCATTTCTTAGTACGGGCCAAAGCCAATTAAGATATGGTTGAATTTTATCTGTTAAATGGGTCATGGTTAAAATCTTACTTTGATTAAATGTTTTGCATATATTAATAATGAATCTGTACCCGTTTTCTATTATTCATGAAAACA